ATTAATACAATACACCTCTGGCAATGAGCAAAGAGTTATTATGTTTATTAGTTTTATCTATTTAGTATTCATTTTCTTTTTCCAAAAGTGACATGAATTTCTTTTAAGGCAATGGTTCAGAACCAGGTATGATTTTGTTCCCCCTGGGATAACTGACCAATGATTAGTTGTCACAACTCAGAGAGGGTATTACCAGGATCTAGTTAATTAGAGGCCAAGGAGACTTGAAACAGCCAGAAGTGCATACATAGGACAGTCACCTGTGACAAAGAATTATTAGGCAATGCATGTTAATAATCCAGAGGCCGAGAAAAACCTGCTTTTCTGGAATTCTTTTCTTTATCATATGTATATTCTCTTGATTATGGATAGAGCTTAAAACTTGTCCATTCAACCTGTCATCCTTTAATTTTGTATTTTGATCAAAGTGACACAAGGACCAAAAAAGACACAAAGCAATAAAAGAATACACACTTAAAAATCCCCTCAAAATCAGTTTAATCTATTGGTGCTGTCAATACAAAAAAATATGTAGTCTCTTTGCTTACATATGGCCTCGTTTCTTTTCTGTTCCTAAACTTAATTCTTCAAATTTCCTAGTCATCCTTGAAATGTTCCCTAGTAAGATGTTTGTTTTGATATATTTTAATTATAGAACTTTGTTTCTGTTTTTTGTTGTCTAAGAACCATATTGGAAGTACTCATTTTTAGAGAAAAAATATCATGGGGCTATAAATTTGGAGATGGTGTTTATTCCATAAAGTCAGATACTATTTTATTTCCTGGAATATGTGAGGTGTGAGCTTTCTCTTCCAAGAACTGAAAACTGTAGTTGTGAACACTAAACATACCAATCTATAGTAAGTATTAATTTGCATTCAAAGCAGTTATATACTATAAGCCAAATGAGTGATTCAAAGAACTAATAAATATATTTTTATCTCAGTGGGGGAAAGTATTGCTTGATGATTAATAAGGAAGACTTCTGGGAGGATTGATAGGTTTGTGATGGCAAAGGAAAGGGCGAGGTCTTAGAGCATTTTGAACATGACATTGTCAAACAGAACTCAATTCAGATTTCTTTTTTGTGATTCAAAACTCGCTTGACTTTGGGTCTGCTTTTTATAAACTCTAGTGTAACATTCTTTAGAAGTGTGACTAGCAACAATAGATACTAAAATAAATGTGGATAAATATTACTATTTTTTCAAATGTGGAGGAAGAATTTAAGCCAATATGTAGAGTTGGAAATCAGTATAATCTATTAATGGGGAAAATGTGGAAAGTAACTTGGCTTAATATAATGAAAGGCTGGAGAGTAAAATGAAGGAAATTTTTAAATACTGTATTATGATTTCCATTCTATCCCTAATTGTAAGTTCAGATTTTATCCTCCTTTAAATTTAGGAGAGATCTGTAGATTTGTATTGTTAAATATTGTGATGAAAACTGTGATTTTCCAATGAAACTTCAAGTGCTGACATGTTAAAGTACATTTTAGATACTCTATTTCATTGACTTTACCATACAAATTACACAATTAAATTCAGAAACACAAAAGAAAGTAGGCCAAAGGTAGCCAAAAAAAAATCTAGATACTTTTTATATTGATACCAACAATAGATTGAACTGACTTTGAGAGTTTTTATGTGTGTATCCTTTTATTGCTTTGTGTCTTTTTGTGGTCCTTACGTCATTCACAGAAATAAATAATTTTCACTCTGTGTCACTTGGTCTCTCTTGCAGATGTAATTAAATGGACAAGCCAAAGATAAAAGAGGATAACACCAATTAAAAAACAAAACAAAACAAAAGTCCAATATATAACACTGGGGCTTTGTAGTAAATTGATTTACTCAATCCCATTAAATGTTATACTGATTTCTTACACAGGTTCCTGGAATTTGATAGGATTTTTCTCTCACATCAATTGATTTGATATTACATGTAGACACCAACTATTGCTTGCAATCAAAATGAAAGAGTTACTTTGAGTATTCCTCTCAGGAAAGTTAGTGTGAAACATAAAAACTAGCTTTGAAAGAAATTAGCAGTAACTGTAGTAGCTTTACTAGCACATTAAGATGAGTATCCTGGTATACTCAGTAGAACAATTATATTTAAGGACAATTAAACACAAGCAGTTAAAGAGGAACATGCAAGGAAAGGATTGCTGACCAAAACATTAGTACCTAACTTCATTGCTTGCTTTCATTCTTAAAGTCAAAGCCTGAAGTTTAAGCAGCAAATTCAAAGATTGTCTCAGACTTTAATTAGTTCTTTTCAAGGTCCACTATAAGTTTTCTAATAAAATATAAATCTCTACTCAGTTGTTGAGATGTGGAATTGACTGTTCTCTGCCTCCTTTCCCAAATAATTATTGTGAGCTTCAGATAAGAGTCTAAAAAGAAGGAAATGAGCTTGCCTGTTCTTGGCAGCATGTGCTGAAAATGCTATATGTAATTATGTGAGTTGCTGATAGATTTGTCTCTGCACTAGTGGTCAGAATCCATATGGACTGCTGAAATTGTGACTTTATCATCACAAAATTTCTGCATTTCTTGGCAATTTCCAGGGTTAAATATGAAACTGTAATTCCATACCAATAAATCATTTTGGGATATTTTGCAGGTTCACATTTTTATATTCTTGGGTTTAAGGGTTAAAAGTGTATGTGTGTGAGGTGTTCAAGGGCTCACAATTAAGCTATTTACTGTGAAGTCATTCAGATTGGCTACAGAGCTTTGACACAGTGAATTAGTGTGGGCTCAAAGAGGCTAAAACCATTAATTTATAACTGAGCTCTTCTACATGTTTCTTGCCTACAACTTACATTATCTTTCTCTCCATTCTGAAAATGGGGAATTTTGGTTACAAGGCACTCTAAATGAGGAAATGTATGCTTCATTTAGTTTCATATCTAAATTGGCCTGATGATAACTGCTTTCTTTATATTTTAACATCATGCTGTACATCACATGAATTCAAAGCATTTTGAAATTTATGAACCATTTGTAAATGTAAGGCACTTATAAGTTATGTTACTATTAATAAATATCACTTCAATAATTAATATTTAATAAGAACAGAATCAAGGAAAACATGTCCATAGTCCAGGAGTGTGCCACCATGCCCGGCTCACTGTAGCATTCATAAAATGAAAACTAGGTAAAATAGTTGTAGGTCTGCCTAAGTTGTTCCAAAATCTGCTTAGTTTTAAAAATCAATTCTGTGAGGACAGTACCTATTTTACTAGTAGGTCATCAATAAAGATTTGTTGTAAAAGCAAGAACAATTCACTAAAATTTTATTATTTCAGGCAACTCAGATTTCAGGAAAAGGAAGCCCATGTTATTATATAAATATCATTTATAAATATATTTCTGGTATATTTATTTGTTATCAACAACTAATTTATGGAATCTCACAAAATTTGTCTATTTACCTAACTTTATCCCTATCCTCTCATCAACTCTTGTTTTTCTTTCTCTTCTATAAATCCTGGCCACTAGGAGATGCACATCCCTCATGTCAACAGTCAATTCCTAAGCCAGTCTACTAATAGTGGCTTAGTCATTATCTGTTATAAACAAATTCTAGGCTTAGTTTCCAAGAATTAAATTATAAAGAAGCACAAAACATTTCCTTTTAGTAGGAAAATTCCGGTTTTATAGTTGAAGCAAGATGTCAACACAGAAACTATTAAAGTAATTCAAGATATAAGTAATAATTTGATATAAGGGCTGTTTCTTTGACACTACACATACAATTGTTGATATATCAAGTCCTCTCATTTCTTTTTCCTGGAGCCTGCCAGATTTGTTACAATCCCCCTTTAAACATGTTTTCCAGACTCCAAACTGGTCTGATTATTGTTCCCTACTGCTACCCAGTCAGAATTGCTGCTGCCCTCTTTTAGCTACTTTTGTCCTTCTCCACTGTTTTCATACATCTAGCATTTCCTTAGAATACTTCCTCTCCAAAGTTATTAGATAGAGCTTCTTTTGAGTCATTGTTTTGTTCCAATAATCTTCAGTGATGCTCTAGCCTACCATATTATGTCCAAATTCCTTTGCAAATCTTTGATCCTTCAGAATTTGAGTGTTCATACTATTCTGTCCAATTCAAGATGGTCACATCATGAACAACTGGATCTCTATCCAACTCTATATAAGCCCTTCTCATCAGACTATTCTCCTTTAAGCACATTATGTGCATGAATTTCTACTCGGTGCCTTGGATTCTGTTGTTAAACTTCCTTGAATTTTATCTTCTTAACTCTTTGGCTTTTGAAATCTTCTCTACCCCTTAAAGTTGATATGAAGATTGATTTTCTTCATATAACTTTCCCTAGTATTATCTGCCAGGCTACAGACCTCTCTTTCTCTGTTCTGCAGGTCCCATGTTCATAGTCTTAGACACAAATTGAAAACAACCAAGCAGTCTTACTTTCTTCTCCTTTATTGTATCTCCCATATCCTTTATTGTTTCAAAACTATGACTGTAGTAATTTTGGTCAGTTCCTAATAGAGATACCATTGCATCATTATTTTAGGAGTTGGGGTGAAGAATGGAGGCGGATTTAGTCTTAGAACGTTCATGCAACTACAAATGTCCACTGGAATTATGTTTTATAGAAAATATTTAGTGCACTAAGCTGATATGAATGAAGATTTGTTTCTGTGATTAAATTTTTAAATCTATATTTGTTCACACTCACACAGACTGGTAAAAAGCAGTCAAAACAGTCTATTAGTTTGATCTTGGTAGAAAATCTAACTGTTGAAATAGCCTATTCACAGTGAATCAGTGGTGCTCTAACTCTGCTGGGAAATTATAGATGTTATGTGGTGAGAGAAACAACCCAAATAAATACACTGTCAAATAAATGTTTGCACACCATCAAATCTACAAACATTAAATATCATACACAATAGAATCTTTCTCATCCTATAATTTATTTCAATTTTTCCATTATCTTTTTTCATTTTATTTTCTAGCTTTACTCACAGACAAGCCTCCCAAACCATTGTTCCCCATGGAGAATCAGCCAAGTGTTATAGATGTCCAGCTGGGTAAGTCCCCTTCTGGGAATAATAGATTTGAAACTTTCTCTCTGTTAATATTGTAGAAAATTACATGAACCAGGAAAGGTTTATTGCCACTGTTATTACATGCAAATCAATTTGTAGTCTACTTATTTATAACCCTTTATTTCAGTGCAATTTCAGTTTAAGGAAATGAGTTTGTATTGCATTAAGGAATGGTAATACTGACTTGTTACACTGGGTATTGAGTATACTGTATGATAGAGCTTGTTGACTCAGTTATTGTTAGATTCACAGCCATCTTCCTTTGATTGATTGAGCAATTTTTCATATTTCAGGCAAAAATTTTTATTTGGACAGCATTCACTCAAGGAGAACAAGCACCTAATTAAAAAAGGCAGACCTTCAGTAAAACCTTTAAAATGATTTGATAATATTATTTCTAGCAGCGCAATCCAATGCTATTTAAAACTTTTTTGGTTGGGAGTCTGAATATTTATGAATCTTATGATGTCAAGAAAAGAAGCGAGTTGAGTTATGAGTGCTACTACTTTTTTTACAGACTCAGATACAGACAAAAGGTATTAAGCAGCTTTTTTGAATCCCTTGCCACTAATCCTTGTGTTTTAAAGTACTGTAAACTTGGAACTCAGAATCCTGATAAGATCTCTTTGAGTCTATGCCCTTTAATCTAAGACATGTCCTTTAACATTTGTGAGCTTTCATCTATGCTGAGTTTCACCACAGGACTCTGAATTTTTTCACTTCTAAACAGTAGTACCACAAAAAACAGAAAATATGTGGAAATACATGATTATATGCTTATACTGATTATATGATATTTTATTACTAGTTTATAGAACATAACAATTACATTCATCATGTGTAATTATCACATGTATATAACATAGCTTAATTTATTTTTTGTCTTTCCCTTCCTCCCTTAAATCTCTTCACCCTTTTCCTTTTTGAAAAAAGTTGATTAAATTTTTCTAGTGTTACCTATTAATGATACCCAGGGAAGATGAAGCAGCCCATATATTTAAGTCCATTTGAAAAATTTTGACTTAACTTTCAATTTTCCCAGTTGTTGTGGTCTGTTTTCTAAATGCCACTCAAAAGTCTTATGCTGTCATACAATTTTCCCAGAGGTGGCTGAATCTAGATTGTGTGATTGGTTGGTGGTGTGATGCTGTTCTTAACAGTGCTTGAATGTATCTCTACTGGTTGGATTGGCACATTGATAGATAAAAGTCTGCTGAATGGATTGGAACTCTATCAAGGCATGCAGATCCTTGATAGAGTACAAAAGAAATAGAAAGATACTGTTAAAATTGTTATTGATTTTGCTGTCATATGCTGCCATGAACTGTTGCCTCACTGCCATGTGCTCTCCTGCCTTGGAACCAGCCTATTATAAACTGAAATCTCTACAAACAGTGAGCTAAATAAACCTTCCCCCTGTTATCATTGGGTGTCAGATATTTTGTCTCAATGAAAAGCGAAAAATAACTAAGGCACCAATAAAACTTTAATTTATGGAGGTTTATTATATCTTTTTAATTAAAATTTTATCTTTTTAATTTTCAGCAAATTAAGAGTTTCTGTTCAACTTTGATTTCAGTTTAGTACATGCTGAGAGATAATGGGTTTAGATTTAGTCTTCTGCATGTGGGTAGCGTGTTTCTTCAGCATTATTTTTTAAAGAGAGTATCTTTTTCCAGTGTATATTTTGTACCCCTTTTCAAAGATAAGATAGCTAAATATCATTGTGATTGTTTCTGTATTTTTATTTGGTTTCATTGATCCATGTGTATTCAAATAGTACTCAATACATTATCAAGAACAATCAGGCAATACAAAAATATAAAATATATAAGGAAAAATTCAAATTATCAATTGACGACATGATCCTCTACATAGAAAACACAAGAATACTACTAAAGAACTCTTAGAATTAGTAAGCGAGTCCCAGTATTGTAGCAGAATAAAAAATAAACAGACAAAACTCAGTAGCATTCCTGGTCACAAATAATGAATTAACTGAGAAAGAAATTACAAAAACAATAGCATCATGAAAAATAAAATATGTATTTAGAAATTAACCTTGCCACGGAATTGAAAGAACTTTACAGTGATAACTACAGTACTCTGGAAAAAAATAGATGAAAAAAGATATCAGACAATGGAAAGATAGGCCATTCTGCCTCTGAAGAGACAGAATCAGTATTGCCCAAATGGTCATATTTCCAATACTGATATACAAATTTAATACAAGACCAATTAAAATATCAATAGCATTTCTCACATAATTAGGGAAAAAAGTCCTAAAATTCATATGGTACCAGAAGAGAGCCATAGTAGGGTAAAAATAATGCACAACAAGGGCAAGGATCACAATCCCTAACCTCAAGTTATGTTACCAGGCTACAGTGATTAAAAAAAAAAATATGGTTATGGTTTATTTGTATTTGAAAATGATAAAGAAAATTAAATTCTTAGACTTGTTCTTTGTTTTTAAATTAAATATAGCATGATATGGTTTTTACATTGAGTAAATGAATGTGAATTTCAATGTTAAGTATATTAAAATAAAAAGAGAAAATAATCAACATATTCTCAAGTGTGGACTGTGCAAGTGATAACTATTTTGTAAATCATGTTGAGGTATAAGACTATGACTGCCCCCTCATCCTCTATGTCTCTATGAGTTATGTATTTAGTAGAACTGAATCTAGATGTGCTGACATCCTTACTACACATTTTTCCTTAAAGCTCTTTATCTCAATCTGGGATGTAAACATTCCAAGAATACTCTGTTATTTCTCATGAATTATGTTAAACAGTTTAGTAATCCTCTATCATGAGTTTACATGGAGACACTAGTTGGATATATTTTACATGAAAATTTACATATTAACTGAGAAAACAAAAGTCATATGAATTTATTCAGATAAAACTGGAGTCAATTTTAAGTTTGTATCTGTGTCTGGAAAGTTAGTGTTATCTTTTCACACTGCCAATCGGCACACTGTAGAAAAGTTTGACAAGTACTATTGTAAATTAAGGAGAGAGGCCACTGTGTAAGATTAATTAATTTAGATTCACTGGGTACACTTGTATGTGTTGTTTCAGAAATCTATAATGTATGCTTTATCCATTAATATTATTAGCCTATAAAATTACTAAAATAATTTCCCTTCAAATTGCATTTAATGTAAGGCTAAAGTTTTCAATTTTTAGTGTGCAACATGATTTAGAAATTTATTGATCAAAATATGAAAACTTGCCCATTTTTTCTTCCAAGAAAGGCTACTTTTCTGAGACATTAAAACTGCTATATGATTCAGAGAAAGAAAGGCAAAATTGGTCAAAACAGATTATTATCATTTAAAGGAGCACATGACAAGTTAATTTTAAATTATTTAATTTTTCTACAGATTTATTTAGCGGTATTTATTCACAATGGGAAATCATTTTGTAAGTTCCTTTTATACATATATCAATACTAGGGTAACTTTAGAGACACTATGAATGTCAAAGGCCCTCAGCATTCATTGTCAGAATAATAAGTGCTTATAAAACACTAGCTATTAAAATAAGGAAATAAGCGTAAGTGGGACTATTGGCTATCCCTATCTATATCTGGAGAACTTTCACAATTCACTATGTAATCAAAACTAGAACTTATTTTACTTTCATTTCTAAATTTTGTCAGGCACATTAGTTTTATACATGCTCAATCTGGAAATAAAATTAGAGCTACTAAAAGTGCAACAATCCAAAATGAATGGCTGAGTACATAACCAAGTTTGGGTTTTCCAAATCCAACTGAAAATTTGAGAAAACACTGTGGCAGATTAAATTTGGCTATATAATTTTTTTGCTACGTCTACCACTTAAAAATAATTTTTTCACTCTCCTCCCCTTAATCTGTGCTGGCCTTGTACACTTGACCAATAAAATATGAAACAAGTGATATTCTGAAATTCTAGACTCTAGATTAAAGGAAACTTTCAACTTGTATCCCAGCCTCTATCTACACTGACTTCATCTTGTTACTTGAAACTTATGCCACATAGAGAGGTTCCAGAGGATGAAACACCATATGTAGCAAGGAAGACCAATGAACACCAAAGCAGCAGACAATTAAGCCATTTTGACAATGAATCCTGTAGGCCCAGCTGTCAGTTTATAGCATATGGGTCACAGATGAATCACTGAATGAAATTCTTCTCGTTGCCTTAACTGAAATGTCCTGAGTAAAATCAAGTGTTTATCATTGGCCACTAAGTTACCTGTTCCTGTTAGGTAATAGTACATAACCAGAACAATCATAAATTAGTTTCTCTAGAATATTCTCAATTCCATTTTTCCCATGGACAAAAATCTGCTGCAGCCTATGTGTGAGAAATAATGAATGTTGTAGAAAATAATTTTGTACTAGCTTCAAGGTAGTCTTAGAGAACATAGTCTGAAATCCTTGTTTATGTGTTTGAAGGCTACACTTTACACAGTTCTAGATACTTTTAAGGTCAATCCAGAAAATTACAATTTTTGGTAGAAATAAGTACTTTTAGTATATGGAGATGGTAACAGTACAGATATTTTGTTATTTCTGGAGGAAAATAAATATCTCAACTTTCTTAATTTAATAATGTAATCCATTAGTTAACTTCAAAGTCCTAGAAATTTACATATTTTTGTTGTCTTAATGATGTCAGTTAGGTTATTGTAAAGTTGTGTTCATATTTTAATGGTGAGAGAAGATTATTCTTAGCCAAATACCATATATTTTGGGATGGTAAACACCTTTTAAACAATATAGCCTGAAACCATTCTCACACAGCAAGCCAGCCTTTGTAGCTACAACTGTCTTTGGTAATGTCTGAAATATAAAGAGAAAGTTATAACACACACACACACACACACACACACACACAAATTCAATTTTGTCCTGTTATCTCTTGTCTACTTTCTTTTCTCTAAAGGTAATTTTAGCTTTAAATTTGAGAGTCTTTACGATA